GATGAGATGCCCATGCGTACGCATCGTGACCAAGACGGAACTAATCAGGCTATTTATTTAGAATAATAATGAAACAAAGCAAGGGTATAGGTTTTGACCTGTTTGATCTTCCCGGTGGTCTCGATCATCCGGCTCTGCAGCTCTACGAAAGCCTGACGCCGCGCAAAGAAGGGTGCAAGTTAGAAGGTTGGCACCCAGAGATCAGCCAAGAAAACTTAGCACTTACCGCTCGGTTGGGTTCGTCCGCCATGGAAGGGAATCTGGTGAGATGGGGAACCCTAACAGCGAGCTCGACTCCAACAGACAGGAGGGGCACGCGGAGAGTGGAGAGACGACGGCGGGCGGCGCTATTCGGGTCGGCCGGTCACAGGCCAAACGAGAAGCCTGGAGCTCGGAAATGACGGGACTGGTTGGGCCCGTTCGCTACCCGGCCCGGACAAGGCCCGCTCAACCTTTTCGATCGACTTCGGCGTCAAGACCAGCTTCTGCGGATTTTCTGGAAGAAAAAAAAGACCGGTGAACATCTTCAATAGGTACTCCCTTCGTTCGAAAAGATTTATCTCTCAAATAGATGTATCTATCACAAAATTAATGCTAGATATATCCATTTAAAATACAAATTTGAGACAATTTTTTTGGAAGGAGGGAGTAATGTAAAGTAGCCCCTAAAAATCTGTTAAAAAAGTAGCCCCTAAAAAAAGCAGTTTTTGACGAATCGTTTTCTTATGCAAGGGAGGCGGCCCAAGAAGCGATTAGGTTTCCGCTGGTCCGCCGCCAGCCGCCTCCTTGGCGGCGGCACGGGGACCGGCGTTTTGCTGTCCGAGGTCGATGCCCTGAGTGTCGTCGTTGGTTCTCTATCTCCACTACGAATTGATGGCCGCTGCATGTGGCGCCGTAGTAGGATAAGTTGTACTGCCTGATTCTCTTGATCAGGTTCAGTTTGTTGTGTGAGTCTGAATTTTTCGCAGGGAATTGTTGCGCTATACCTACCCAAAGTGGTGGTGTTGTAATTGGAGTTGTGATCGATCAGCGAAGGGAGGTGCCCAAGCGTTTCCTTACATTATGAAGATCTTGAGTTGGAATTGTTGTGGCTTGCAGCAAGCCGCAGCGGTGTGTGCACTTCTGAATGTTCAAAAGCGTAGGAGTCCGGATGTTATGTTCTTGATGGAAACACACTTGGATGATTTCCCCGCTGAGTGTCTCCCTCGTCGTTTAAAGATGGATCATAAAGAAGTTGTTCGTAGTAGTGGCATGAGTGCCAGACTCATTATATTCTGGAAGAAAGAGATTGCTATATCGTTGCGCCGTAAAACTAAAAACTACATTGATGTTTTTGTTGGCTCGGGACAGGATGAATTTTGGAGGCTCACTAGTCTTTATGGGGAGCCAAGGTGGAAAGATAAACACCTCACATGGAGCAGGTTGAGAGATTTAAAATTTGTTGTAGACATGACATGGATGGTGATTGGTGATCTCAACGAAATCATGTACTCTTTTGAGAAGGATGGCGGTAATGACCGACTATGCAGGCTTTCAGAGATGTCGTTGAAGAGTGTGACTTGCTGGACCATGAGTTTGTTGGGGATAGATTTACTTGGCATAGAGGCTTGATAAGAGAAAATTAGACCGTGCTCTGGTCAACAAGGGATGGTTTGCTATGTATCCGGGTTTAAAACTAGAACATATGGATTATTATAAATCTGACCACAGTCCTCTACTGATGAACCTCCAGGTTGAAGCAGCGCAGGAATCAGCGAGGCCAGCAGTTCTTCGTTTTGAGGCCCGCTGGCTCAGAGAGGCCAAATTCCGAAGCATCGTGGAGGAGGCCTGGAAAGTATCAGGTCCAGAAATTCAAAATTCTGGGCTTGCGGGAAGGCTGGCATTCATTCATGAACAACTGCACAGATGGGATCAAACGGTGCTAAAAAGATCAACGAAAAGATTAAAGAGAGTTCAAAGGGATTTAGAGCAGGTCTCACGGGATGTGCTATCGCCGAAAAATGTAACTCGATAGAAAGAACTTGTTGAGGAGCTTGAGATGTTGCTAGAACTAGAGGAGATGTATTGGGCTCAGAGAAGCCGAATCAACTGGCTAAAGCATGGAGATAAGCCGAATCAACTGGCTAAAGCATGGAGATAAGAATACATCTTATTTCCAAAATTTTGCCTCAGCCCGCAGATTGAGGAACCGGATCACCAAACTAAAGGATGATCAGGGAATCTGGCATGAAGGGACAGTTTATTTGAATCCCTTAATCAATAACTATTTTGCTAGACTTTTCTCAACAGAAATAGACGAACCATACCCGGCTTTGATTGATAAAGTTACTCCACGAGTGACACATGAGATGAATGGGGCGCTCTTAAAGCCATATTCACATGAGGAGGTAAAAAGAGTCCTTTTTCTATAGGAAATATGAAGGCCCCGGGAACAGATGGGTTGCATGCTATTTTTTCAAAAAATGTTGGCATATTTTTGGAAATGTTTTAACAACCGAGGTGTTGAAGGCGATAAATGATAAAGTGATTCCAGAGGGATGGAACGACACTGTCATTATTCTGATTCCTAAGGTGGATGGGCCAGAAAGAATTACCCAATATAGGCCTATAAGTCTGTGTAATGTGTTGTATAAGGTACTCTCTAAGATGATTGCCTTCCGATTAAGATCTTGTTTGGATGAGATTATTTCACCAGTTCAGAGTGCTTTTGTCCCTGGCCGTCTAATAACAGATAATATTCTTTTGGCTTATGAGTGCTTTCATACTATAAAAATAAGAAGAAGGGGAAGCAAGGTTATTGCGTGGTAAAGTTATACATGCATAAAGCTTATGACAGGGTGGAATGCAAATTCCTGTTGGGGATCGTTGCAGAAATTAAAAAAATTCTACGCATCACCAAGATCAATCTATGGAGAGACTAGCAACGAGAGAGAGGGGAGTGTATCTTCATACCCTTGAAGATCGTGAAACGGAAGCGTTACAAGAATGCGGATGAAGGAGTCGTACACGAAGCGATTCAGATCACGGCTGAATCCGATCTAAGCACCGAAGAACGGTGCCTCCGCGTTCAACACACGTGTAGCCCGGTGACGTCTCCCGCTCCTTGATCCAGCAAGGGGAGAGAGAGAGGTTGGGGAAGACTCTGTCCAGCAGCAGCACGACGGCGTGGTGGTGGTGGAGAAGCGTGGAACTCCAGCAGGGCTTCGCCAAGCACTGCGAGAGACGAGGAGGGAGAGGGGTAGGGCTGCGCCAAGAGAGAGGGAGACTCGTGTCTCTGGCAGCCCCAAAACCCCCACTATATATAGGGGGAGGGGAGGGGCTGCGCCCCCATCTAGGGTCCCCCCCCCTAGGGGTGGCGGCCAGCCCTAGATGCATCTAGGAGGCGCTCAGAGGGGGAGAGAGGGGGGCGCACCCTAGGTGGGCCTTAGGCCATCTGAGCCTAAGGTTTCTCCCTTCTTCCCTTCCCTGCGCCTTGGGCCTCTTGTGGGAGGCACACCAGCCCACCTAGGGGCTGGTCCCTTCCCACACTTGGCCTACGCAGACCTCTGGGCTGGTAGCCCCTCCCGGTGGACCCCCGAACCCTTCCGGTGGTCCCGGTACGTTATCGATAACGCCCAGAACACTTCCGGTGTCCAAAACGGGACTTCCCATATATAAATCTTTACCTCCGGACCATTTCGGAACTCCTCTTGACGTCCAGGATCTCATCCGGGACTCCGAACAACATTCGGCAACCACGTACTTCTATTCCCTATAACCCTAGCGTCATCGAACCTTAAGTGTGTAGACCCTACGGGTTCGGGAACCGTGCAGATATGAACAAGACATCTCTCCGGTCAATAACCAACTGCGGGATCTGGATACCCATGTTGACTCCCACATGTTCCACGATGATCTCATCGAATGAACCATAATGTCAAGGATTCAATCAATCCCGTATACGATTCCCTTTGTCTACCGGTATAGCACTTGCCCGAGATTCCATCGTCGGTATACTGACACCTTGTTCAATCTCATTACGGCAAGTCTCTTTACTCGTTCCATAACACATCATCCCGTGACCAACCCCTTAGTCACATTGAGCTCATTACGATTATGTCTTACCGAGTGGGCCTAGAGATACATCACCGTCATACGGAGTGACAAATCCCAGTCTCGATTCGTGCCAACCCAACAGATACTTTCGGAGATACCCGTAGTGCACCTTTATAGCCACCTAGTTACGTTGTGACGTTTGGCACACCGAAAGCATTCCTACGGTATCTGGGAGTTGCACAATCTCATGGTCTAAGGAAAAGATACTTGACATTATTAAAAGCTTTAGCAGACGAACTACACGATCTTGTGCTATGCTTAGGATTGGGTCTTGTCCATCACATCATTCTCCTAATGATGTGATCCTGTTATCAATGACATCCAATGTCCATGGTCAGGAAACCGTAACCATCTATTGATCAACGAGCTAGTCAACTAGAGGCTCACTAGGGACATGTTGTGGTCTATGTATTCACACATGTATTACGATTTCCGGATAACACAATTATAGCATGAACAATAGACAATTATCATGAACAAGGAAATAGAATAATAACCATTTTATTATTGCCTCTAGGTCATATTTCCAACAATTCCTAGAACGGATGATGACAAGATTGGTTTCTAATAATGAGATTGTAGAGCTTCTTATGGCTTGTGTTACTTCAGTCAAGTACAAGGTGAGATATAATGATCAAGAAACAGAGGGTTTTATACCTACAAGGGGGCTCCAGCAAGGGACCCCTTGTCACCATACTTATTTCTCATTTGTGCAGAGGGGTTTATCTAGTGCTTTGGCTCAAAAAGAGGAGGTTCGTGGCATTCAAGGTGTGCGGGTGTGCAGAAATGCGCCATCAGTTTCTCATTTACTTTTTGCTGATGATTCGCTATTCCTTATGAAGGCAGATATGATTAATGGAACCTCATTGAGACAAGTGCTGGATGAGTAATGTACTAGTTCTGGTCAACTAGTGAGCGAAGGTAAATGCAGTATCTTCTTTAGCCCTAATGTAGAAGTGGAAGTCAAAGTCCAAGTGTTTGCAGAATTGAACATCATGATTGAAACTATTTCAGATACTTATCTGGGACTACCATCTATGGTGGGTCTAGATAGGAGTGACAGTTTCTCACATCTTGTGGAAAGAATCGTGAATAGACTGAAGGGTTGGAGGGGAAAATTATTGTCCCTTGGGGGCAAAGAGATCTTGCTGAAGG